TCACTCCTAGACATATGATCCTAGAACAACACACAGAGAAGAAGGTGCTGGAGGCCAATGGTACCAGCCTGGTAAGAAGTGATGGTGTCTTAAGAAGCTGTGCTCTGCGGCCGGCTGGTATCTATGGGCCTGGAGAGCAAAGGCACCTTCCCAGGATAGTGAGGTACATTGAGAGGGGTCTGTTCAAGTTTGTGTACGGAGATCCTAGGAACCTGGTTGAATTTGTCCATGTGGATAACTTGGTACAGGCTCACATTCTGGCCTCAGAGGCTCTGAGAGCTGCCAAGGGCCACATTGCCTCTGGGCAGCCCTACTTCATTTCAGATGGCAGGCCCGTGAACAACTTTGAGTTCTTCCGGCCTTTGGTTGAGGGCCTAGGCTACACGTTCCCATCTGTCCGCCTGCCGTTGACCCTCGTCTACTGCTTTGCTTTCCTAACAGAAATGGTTCACTTCATTTTAGGTCGACTCTACAACTTCCAGCCCTTCCTCACCCGCACAGAAGTTTACAAAACTGGCGTCACACATTACTTTAGCCTAGAGAAGGCCCAGAAGGAGCTCGGTTATGAGCCTCAGCCATTTGACCTCCAGGAAGTAGTAGAATGGTTTAAAGCCCATGGTCATGGCAGAAGTCCTGGGAATCGTGACTCTGAGTGTCTTGTTTGGGATGGGCTGATGGTCTTACTCTTGGCTATAGCAGTTCTCACGTGGCTGCCTACTTTTGTGGTTCTGTCACTATGAGGGAACTAGAAATAAGGACCTGAACACACTTGCTGAGATGGTTTTCAAGAACTATGGGTTTAGGGCGCCTGGGTGGCTCAGTTGGTTGAGCGACTGCCTTCGGCTCAGGTCATGATCCTGGAGTCCCTGGATCGAGTCCCGCATCTCCCTCTGACCCTCCCCCCTCTCATGTGCTCTCTCTCTCTCTCATTCTCTCTGTCTCAAATAAATAAATCTTAAAAAAAAAAAAAAAGAACTATGGGTTTAAAATGTCTATCTAGATCTAAATATATCTATATCTATATAGATATCTAGATAGATAGAAATAGATTTCTGGTAGCAAATTTTGGCTCTTCAAATTGCTACTTAAGAATAGATTCTTGGATCAAGTCTTCATTTCTTACCTTCTTGCACTAATGCTGATAGAAAAAAAGAAGCAAACACAAAGTTGAAATGTAATTTCTTGTATCCTTCTCCTTTAGATGGGTATGATAGAAATCATATTGGAGCCATGGAGCCAGACTGAGGAAGATTGGAAATGTCTTGAATTTCTCTGAGCCAAAAATGTACTTATTTCTGTTCCCTACACTCTGCATCCACTGAAAATAGACTAAAATGTGCACTGATATGGGAATGGCAGAACACTAACAGGCTTGAAAATGTGTGAAAAACCCCAAATTGGGTCAGATCCCTACAGACCAACCCTCTGAGGAGATGGTAGCTGTTGAGAGGCATTAGCTCTTCATTCCTATAGGATTTAGGAATTAGTTCTTGCCCTTTATGATATAAGGCATGACCCATGTGTGACCGCGTGGTAATGTTTGAGTTTTAAACAAACAGAACTTTGTCTTACCTCATAGGATTCTTCTGAGGATTAAATTAGACAAGACATATAAAGGGCCACTCAACACACACACAAGCCATTGTTTTTATTCATATCGTTGCTATATATTCCTTATGAGGGTTTTCTTCCTCAGGGGAATTCTGTTCAGAGGGTGCTGTTGTCACTAACCTTTCTGGAACGTCTTTGTGATAAGCCCTCAGTCTGTAACAAGCATGTTTGAATATACTCAGTGTTTCTAAAGTTTTGGTCTCTGAGCTTAGATTGAAGTTTAGGAAACAGCCACACATCTGACTAAGGAAGATGATCAAGCTAATGATGCCATTTGTAATTTAAAAATGAAACATAACTCTCAACCAGTAGACTGGTTTTCTTCTGGGAAGAAATTGGGTTCTCAGAAGGCAACTTCCAGTGAAGAATGTTTTGAACAATGGTGGTATTGTCCAGCCACCCTTGAGGACTGCCATGGAAGGCATTCAAGGTGTCCTGTTGCACAGGAACCAAAGTGAAAAGAAGACAGAGAATCTTTACCCGTTCCATGATTCCAGCTTCAGAAAAGACCATATTCAAGCACAAGGCAGAGAGATTGCTGCAGAAGGTTACGTTAGAATTGTGTTGAGATTATTGGCAGAAAGAGGAAGCTAGATGAATACTCCCTGGTAAATGCTACCTGGGTATTTTGGAAAAAATGCTCAACCTGATACCAGAAGACCTGCAACCATGAAGATATTGTGTGGCTTTAATCCAGTAACTGAAGCCTCTTACTTTCCTCACTTGGGAAATAGGAATGACTTGTATTTGCCTTTTCTACAAACCCACCACCCGCCTCACAGGGTTTGTTGTGAGCACAAAATAAGATGTCGTGAAAGTACTTTTAATATATAAATTACCACATAAATACGAGGTAGTGGTAGTGTTCATTTTTGGTAAAATGTTTTTAGAGTCTTTTCTATCTTAAGTTTTTTTTTGTTGTTGGGTGGCGGGGGGGCAGAGGGAGAGAGGTAATCCCAAGCAGGCTCCATGCCCAGCACGGGGCCTGATGTGGGGCTCAATCTCACTACTCTGAGATCATGACTTGAGCTGAAATCGAGAGTTGGATGCTTAACTACTGAGCCGCCCAGGCGCCCCTATCTTAAGCTTTTGCTTTAGTCTGGAGTTACCTTGTATGAGCACCTATGGCATACCCAACAGTACAGCTATAGGGCGGGTTCCTCTGCCCTCCGCCGCCTTACAGCCCACTAATGGCATGGCGTGTCCACACGAGGTCACTGATGGAGTGGGTACGTTCAGTAAAACATTTGTCCGCTGTTATTGAGAGGCGTCGCAGACTTTCAAAACATGTTTTTATTGAAGTCCTTCAAAAGAATGATAGATACTTCTTAGTTTTCTTACACCAAGTATACTGAGTATAGTGGGGTTTTGATTGATTTTGTTGTTTTCCACAATCAAGAGATCCACATGAAATTCAGGACGGATATATGGGGTCTCTTGTCATCCAGGTGTGAGGCATTTGGCTACGCCATAACATTTGACACTGTTGTCCACTCTTACCTTGAAACAGTTCATTCACTGTTCATGAACTCATTCTTGGTCTTTCTCCTTGTATTAATTACCTATTGTATTACCTCAAGATCTACTACAAATTACCCTAAGACATACCATCTTAACAAATCACTCCTAGACATATGATCCTAGAACAACACACATTACGTCCTGGTTTTTATGGGTCAGGCATTTGGGTGCAGCTGAACTGGGTTGGTCTTGCATAGGGTCCCTCATGAGGGTCATCTCATGATATCTGGTACTGCGGTCATCTGGAAGCCTGACTGAAGCCGGAGGATCCACCTCCAGGATGGCTGATCCACATGACTGTTGGCAGGCGGCTCAGTTCCTCACCATGTAGGCATCTCCATTGGACTGCTTGAATGTTTTCATGACATGGTAGCTGGTTTCCCCCAGAGCAGGTGATCCAAGAGAGCATGGTGGAAGGTACAATGTCTTTCATGACTTATCCTCAAAGGTCACACACTGTCACTCCATAATATACTGTTTACACAGGTCAGTTCTATTCAGTGTGGGAAGGAAGTACCCAAAGGTTTGAATACCAGAAGGTGGGGAATGTTGGGGGCCATCTTGGAGGCTGGGCTCTTGGTTCCATCCTCTGAGTCTCCTTTTCCATTAAAGGTAGCCCGTATTTACAGCTACATCGTTTTCTCAGCCTGCTACCACCCAGTAGAATTTGGGAGGTCTAAAGACCTCTTTACACTTTGTAGTGTATCTCTTTTCAGCCCAAGCTGGTGGTGCTACTGCAAATAAAATTTTTCTGAACACTGTGTGTCTCCTGGGAGTCTTATTCCAGTTCACCCCATTATGCAAAAGCCACACCCACAAGTTTGAGATAAGTCCTTCTCTACCTTGGGCTTCTGCTCAGGCTGCTGAGGGACAATACCCTTAAGATTCCTAAAAGCTTTATTATTTGAACAACACTTTTAAGTACCACCTTAGGTCTCTTAAATCTTAAAAGGTTTTATAGCCACAGCCTCAGTCATGCACTGTCATTTGCACAATACCATATTGGCTACACAGGTTAGCCCTGTTCCATGTGGCAGGAGACTACCCAGGACGTAAAGACTAGGTGGTGGGAATCACTGGTGGCCATGTTGGAGCCCACTACCACACTCCTATGTCTCGTCAGTTCCCTTGTCCTCTCCTCCACTCCAGTCCTAAGTGGTAGATTTCTTCAGTGCTCATTACTAGACCCTCTTCTAATATAATTTCTCCAAGCTCCTGATCTCATCCAAACCCCTGGCTTTCATTTCCATCTCTATCCCCAATACATACTACTAAATAGAGTTCCAGCTCAGACCATTCTGAGCTCCAGACCCATCTATCCAAGTCCCTTGCATCTCCACCTGGGTATGTCACATGCACCTCTCCATCAACATATCACACAACCCCTCCAAATTATAGGGTTTCTTTCTTTAGTAAGCATCACCAGTACCCACTGAATTTCTTATGCCAGAAATCTGGGATAATCTTCGATCCCTGCCTGCCCTTGACACACCTAACCCCCCTTGAAGCCCACTGACTTTAACATCTGTTCATGCCTCAATGTTGTCCAGTGAACAGGTGTTACCTCTCTCCCCTAGGCTCCAATAATACCCTCTTTTCTCTTGCACCTACATACCCTCCTGCCTTCCTTCAATCCGTTCTCCATGGGCCAAGCAAAGTGATCCTATATGTAAATGTATGTCACTTCCCTGCTCAAAACTCTCCTCAGATATAGGCTGAAAATCCTTAATGTGAGTCCGAGGGAGGCCTTGCTTGATCTGGCCCCTGCTAACTGCTTCAAGATCACCTCCCCCCACACTCCCTTCTCTGCCCAAACTACACCAGGTGCTTGCAGGTTCCGGCTTCCCAGCTTCTCACATCCCTCCTCACTTGATGCCTAATGTTTTTTTCACACCTCAGCTTCAGCTCCCTTCTTCCAGATGCCTTCCATGATCCCAACAGTGTAGGTGTGGTCCTCCTGCTACAAACTCTCATACCACCTGCTTCTCTTTTACAGCTTTTATCACAACTGGAATAGTTGGTGCAATTATTTGTCTAATGCCTGTAAGCTCCTCTATCCCTAACACCTTGCACAGAACAGGAGTTCGGTAGGTATTTGTTAAGGAACGTTATTTTTCCTTCTGAGGGTGAACATTCCTTTCTGGTGCATACATTAGCATTTGTAAACTGTTGACTGGGAAAAATGGCCAACCTACTATTCTAGCATCGTGTGTTGACGAAATCAAGACTAGATGGGCGCTAGTAAACAAGCAAGGTCATGTTCCATGTGATGCGGTGGAGCTCCGATATGCTGGAGTAAGTTCGGGGAAGGGCGAGGGATGTGGGCAAAGTGGAAAGTTACTTGAGTTCTCCACGTTGCAGCTGAAAACGGACCCCTTGAAAGAAGTCAAGTCTTTTTTTTTTTTTTTTTTTTTGACAGAGAGAGACACACAGAGAGAAGGAACACAAGTAGGGGGAATGGGAGAGGGAGAAGCAGGCTTCCTGCGGAGCAGGGAGCCCCATGTGGGGCTCGATCCTAGGACCCTGGGATCATGACCTGAGCCGAAGGCAGACGCTCAATGACTGAGCCACCCAGGCGCCCCAAGTCTATTTTCTGAAAGGTAACGCACTTCCTTTCTCAGGTCAGGAGATACCACAGTTAAGGAATTTCATTAGTTCTAACATTCGTAGTTGCCCTCCCCTTCCCTCAACCTTGGATTGAATCCCCAAACCTGCGTAATGATACGAAACCATGTTTACGCTTGTGCACACAGGGGCGCTTCTAGACACTGGGCATGAATCAGTCAGCAATGCCACCCCAGCCAGTGCTTCCAAGGTATAGTTGGGCGGTCATTGGTAAGTGTGTTGGAGGATCATACCCTGTGACAAAGAGCCTTGCAGTGGAAACCAAAGGTAACGCAAAACTGCCTACGTCTGCAAAAAAAGGAAGCAGGGCCTTTTCCGTCCGGTGGAAACACTTGATTTCCTTAGTGCTGTTCTAAACAGGAGTATCAGAGGGTGCCATGTTACAAACAGCAGTTTCCTGGGGGCCAAATGACTAATTCTGGCACCAAATGACCTAGGCTAGAGTATTTCTCAAGGCTACAGAGTAGGCCTTGGGGCGGGGGCGGGGGGGTAATTTTTTTTTTAAAGATTTTATTTATTTGACAGAGAGAGAGAGAGAGAGCACAAGCAGGGGGAGGGGTAGTGGCAGAGGGAGAAGCAGGCTCCCCGATGAGCAGGGAGCCCAATGCTCTGCTCCATCCCAGGACCCTGGGATCGTGACCTGAGAAAGGCACCCCAAGGTTTTATTTTTCTCAGTCACCTAAAATGTTGATTATAAGAAAGCCAGTATTGTTTTGCTGTAGATTGTTTTACTGACAATTGTTGGTGTACCTCCTATCTCGCATTCTTTTCCAAATTCCCTCGCCTTCCAGACAACGTAGAACTAGCTCTCACCCCGTTGGGCACCCTGGGGTTAATGGTCCCCATGTTAGCTGGTCTTGGCATCCAACACCAGCAGTTCGTGTCTTATTAAAATTGTCCCTGTCTGCCAGCACCCCTTGCTTTGGAGAATGACACTCCTCTCCCCTCTTTGGTGAGAGATACCCATTCCCAGCCCATTCCTTGGTGCTGACCTCCTTGTGCAAGACCTGGCCAATCAGAAGGCGGCCATCCTCCCGAGCACAGTCATTGGTCAAGGGGGGGCCAATCAGCATCGTCCCTTCCACTTTTCTCCTGGAGCTGTTTGGAGAAACTGCCTGCTGGGTGGCTTCATCCCGAAGTTAGGATTCAGGGCTGCCGGGGACTCTTCTACCCCGGAAGAGAGACTAAGCTCTGAAAACGTTGTTTGGGCTCCTGGCTCCGGCTGGGAGTTAAGGACCCCAGAGCCCAGAAAGGGCGACAGAGAAGGTCCTTGAAGACCTCACCGAGTCCGCCACCCAGCTGTACCCAAGGCTGACTTCATCCTGGATCATCTTGTCCTGTGAGTCTCACTGCATTTTCTTCCTGCTTCAAGTTTTTGTTTGTTTGTCTCGAGTTGGGTTTTTTTCCATGCATTGCAAAAGGTCTGAGTTAATAGTCTCCACAGCTCACTCCTGGGCACAGTTGAACGCACTCTGTGGTGCCTAAGGGCGCTCATTCTCCACTCACCTGTGTGCCTTCTGCCCTAGGGGGTGGGGAGCCCGAGGGGAGTGCGCTTTTATCCCGCGGGGAACCAAACATTCGCTGGCGCTCTTCTTGCTGAGTTGGACTAATGTCCGTTTATAGAATCCTGCGTGTCTGGGCTGATAGGCTTTCAGCAACCTAGTTCAAACTCTCTCTTTATTAAGAAAATTGTTTGACAAAGTGAT